CTCTCTCTCTCTCTCTCTCTCTCTCTCTCTCTCTCTCTCTCTTTCTCTCTGCCTCTCTAAACAAACAAACTTGAAAACAGAGTTTACTTATCCCAAGAGAAAGGTCTTCTATGACCAAATGGACCTCAACCAATCAACATGATACAGAAGCAAACTGAGAGATCAGAACCAAGTTTTTCAGACTGCGTAAAAGGGCTGGAAAACAGAGCATCTCGGAACATTCCATTCACACCATCATCAGGCCAGAGCTGCCTGGACCTCCCGTGCTGATCTCTGGTGACCTGGACTTGGGGGTGTGCACAGATACCTGTGTGTGTGTGGGTGTCCGTGACTTAAGTGTTGAGATGAACAACGACCATCAGAATTCAGCAATCTTCCCCAAGCTCTATTCCCTGTGGAGTCTCTTAAGTAAAAATAATAAGATCCTCATTTTTATATGATGTAAGGAATGGATATGGAGGCATATGCTATCCTCAGGCAGCAAGATAACCAGGACATGGGGGAAAGAGACCTTTACCTGAGGGAAGTGCCCCTCCTGGTTGTGTGCCTGCTGGTCATCATCCAGTGCCCCCCGTGTTCACCATGTCACCAGGATGCTGGACATCACCTTCCCAGGAGTTCTGGGAGGGACGCGAGGCTTCCATGATGGAGTGTGGGAATCATCAGGCCTGGTGAGGGCTGGTTGGGGGCAGATGTCCTAGGAGCAGGGGGGGCCTATCTGGGCCCAAGGCCCATGAAGGTGGGGGAAGAAGTAGGGTGAGGAGGAGGGGCAGGGGTAAAGGGAGAGGGGTGGGAGGAGAGGGGGGCCAGTCGGAAGGGGCGGCGGATGCAGGTGAGAGAGAGAGGGGGGAGGCGGGTGGTGGGAGGAGCAGGGGGGCAGGCAAGGGTGGAAGGGCCCCAGTCAGGGAACTGGGAAGGGGTGAAACCCGTAAGAGGAGGCAAGTGGTCTGGGCATGATGTAGGAAGAGAACCAGGTTGGTCTGAGTAACTGGTGACCGAGGCAGGCATAGGCTGGAGAGGCAGGGAAGTCACAGGGACAAGAGGCAGGACAAGGGGCAGGGAGGGGGCAGGAGGAGTGCGATGAAGAGGACGCTGAGCAGGAGTGAGGCCAGGCAGCTTCTTCTGCATGGCTCGCAGTTGAGAAATGAGGGTCTGTGTGATGGCCTCAGTGTTCTGCATTCTTTCTTTGCTTGATTCCATTGTGACTCGGACTCTGTCAAAAGAGAGTCCCAGATTCTACAACATTTTGACTTGGAAGGCACTTTTGAGATCCTCGAGTACAGCTTTCTCCACCTGACAAATTAAGAACCAAAGGCCCAGAGGGTTGTCCCAAATCACCCACCAGTCAGTTAGAGACATGGTGTGGGCAGAACCCAATCCAGAGCTCATAAAACCAGTTCTAGGCAGACTGGCAGTGGGTCATAGGACAGGGCTCTTCAGGGAGTGGCGGGGGCCCCTCTGCCCATTAGGGTCCGCCCTAGGTGGCCCACAAGGGAGGTGGCCACTTTCTATCATCCTGGAAGGAGCCTTGACAGGTGCCTTCTGCTCCTGTCCAGGCATTGCCAGAATTTAGAAGAAGCCCCTTACCTCCCTACCATGAGAAAGCCTGCTGCATATGCCCAGGAAAGAGATTGAACATGAAATGAAAAGCAATACTGACCCACTCACCGAGCAACCACTGAGCTCCCATCCAGGCCTGGGTATGGGGAGCCGGGGAAGAAGGTCCTGGAGCAGAAGAAGGAATGAAGGAGAGTTTAGGGCTTCCCTCTGGTCATTGCATTAGCTGTTCCCATACCTTTCTCACTCTGTCCCACGAGAATGTCACAGGGCGGGCGTGTTACCTCCATTTTAAGGAAGAAGAAACTATGCCCAGAGAGAGAGAGAGACAGCTGCCCAGGGCCACACGGCCTTGGAACAGTCCCAGAACCAGAATCCGGACACCTGGTTCTGTGCTCTTGTCATTAAATGACCACTTGGGGAAATGGGACGGGCATATAAGGGGACGTGGATGTAACGACAGAAGCCACAACCACCCCTTCTGTCTCCGTTGTGCCTCTTTCTTTTATGATTTTAGAATTCCTCGAATGTGTGGGATTCTCACGTACTCATCTTTGTCGCTGATGTGTCCCTGTTAGCCAATCTAGCTCTGGCTTTCAGGGATTCCTAATCGTCTCTGGTCCATCAAGGAAACCCCTTCTTGGTTCCCAGTATTATAACAGATTTTAAAAAAAAAAATTTTTTTTTAAGTTTTTGAGAGAGACAGAGACAGAGACAAGTGGGGGAGGGGCAGAGAGAGAGGAGACAGAGAATCCCAAGCAGGCTCTGTGCTGCCAGATGGTGCCTGATGCGGGGCTTGAACTCACGAAACCGTGAGATTATGACCTGAGCCCCAACCAAGAGCCAGAGGCTTAACCGACTGAGCCACCCAGGTGCCCCTGAGCACCTCTTCTTTAAACCAAGATACCAATAGTAGCCATTTCTGAGGGTCTTCCAGAGGAAGAAAGGCCAGGTGGCTCAGGCAGTTAAGCCTCTGGCTCTTGGTTGGGGCTCAGGTCATGATCTCGCGGTTCGTGAGATCAAGCCCCTCTCAGGCTCTGTGCTGATGGTGCAGTCCTCTTGGAATTCTCTCTCTCTCTCCCTCCTTGTCTCTCTGCCCTCCTCCACTTGCGCTTGCTCTCTCTTTCCCCCACAATAAATAAATACAAACTTAAAAAATATATTTTTTTCTTTTATTCCTCTGATTCAGGGCAGAAGCGGGAGGTGATAGGAGTACTAAGCCTCCCACCTTGGAGCAGAACCTCTGCTTTATCAGTGAACCCTGTCCTATTACTGTCTGTATGTGTGTGCATGAGCTCCTGAACTCCTAATAGACCGTATTCGTCATGGTTCTCCAGAAAAACAGCCAGTAGGACAACAGCGCTCTGTGGTCACAAAATGGTTACCATCTGACAGGACACGAGCAAAAGGTCATCAGGAACCCCTGTGAAAAGTGCTGATAGGGGAGGCCCAGGGTGCCATGGAAGCACATTGAAGGGTGCCAAGCCAGACTCGGTGGCTCTGGAAAGAGACAGAGACTTCCCAGGGGACACCTATAAGGAGACTGAGAGCGGGACGCACGTGGCTGGAGTGGAGGCCGCACAGTGGCCAGACCACATCAGGAGTCCTTGCCTGGGCCCCAAAATTAAGGGTCGAGGGTGGGGGGGAGAGGTGCAGAATTAGCAGAGCTAAAGACGTGGGGTTGTTATGGCAGCAACATCCGGGGAAAAGAAACGACACAGAAGAAGACCTGGCATCGAGAGAGCACTCTGTGGTGACACGGTCATTGCCAGTGGAGGTTTTAGGGAGTTTCTGCAAGAGAGATGCCGAAGAGCTGAGCTGCGGTCTCTCCTGGTGGGGCTCCGTAAGCCACCTTACAGAGAGTGGACTTTGAGAAGGAGAAAGGCAGGGCTAGAATCACGTTTTAGAAACACTGCTCAGATCCCGCGTGTGGACTACACCGAAGGAGGAAGCAAGGAGTTCAGGTAAGAAGCTATCGCACAGAATCTAGACTGGTCTCTGCTGCGCAGGGGGTGAGGAGGGAGGGGGCCATCTGAGATGAATTAAGGAGGCAGAATGGGCAGGACTTACTGACTCGTTGGGAGCGAGATACAGGGAGAGGTAAGCTTAGCACTCGAGTTTCTGGCTTAGGCAGCAGGGTGGATGGGGAAGATTAGAAGAGCAGGTGAGGGGCACCTGGCTGGCTCAGTCGGTTAAGTGTTTGACTTTGGTTTTGGCTCAGGTCACGATCTCACGGTTTGTGAGGTCAAGCCCCAAATAGGGCTCCGTGCTGACAGTATGGAGCCTGCTTGGGATTCTCTCTCTGTCCCTCTCTCTCTGCCCCTCACTCTCTCGTTCTCTCTCTCTCTCTCTCTCCCAAGAATAAATAAAAATTAAGAAAAAAACAAAAAGAGCAGGTTTGTCTGACGGGACAAAGAATGGGCAGGTGGAGGGTCCTAGCTTTGAGCTATTAAGAATCAAGTGCACTGTAGGACATGGGTTGACATTTGGGTGTCCTCCAGGAGCTCAGAGAGAGAACTGAGCGATGCGTGCCATTTGAGAGGTGTCTGCAAACATACACCCTTCAAAAGGGATATTAAGGGAGGAGGGACAGCACCTAGGAGCAAGGACCAGCATTTATGGCCCCAGACAGACTGAGGAGTCCACCAAGCGGACTGGAGATGAGCACCCTGAGAGGCAGGAGGAAACCCAGGAGCACGGGGTGTCATGGGGCCCACGGCAAGAGAGTGTTTTAAGATGAAAGGAATGATCAGAGAGGTAAAATAGGGACTTTTTGTTTCTTTTTTTTTTTTAATGTTTATTTATTTTTGAGAGAGAGAGAGACAGAGACAGAGCGTGAGCAGGGAGGGACAGAGAGAGAAGGAGACACAGGATCCGAACCAGGCTCCAGGCTCTGAGCCATCAGCACAGAGCCCCATGCGAGGCTGGAACTTGCGAACTGAGAGATCATGAACTGAACTGAAGTCAGAAGCTTAACCGACTGAGCCAGCCAGGTGCCCCAAATAGGGACTTTTTGTATTCAAACAGGGGACAGTAGGCAACTTCAGTCGTGTGATTGGAAGCGGTTAGTCAGGGGCTTGGAGTTGACATGCCCAAGACTCCTCAGAGCGCCTGCATCTTGCGGCCTTACCCGGGGAGCAGAGGCGCCCTGCCTTTCACTTGAACCCAGCCGGCACTGGACAGTTAAAGGAAATGAGTTCAGTGGATTTAAAATAATCCGGTGAGCTCCCACCATCACTGGTATGCTGGGGGAGATTTCACCCGCAATCGAATCAAGGTGATGGAATGATCAGGCCACAGGTGACCGGACCCAATCAAGGAACTCCCTAAAGGTGGCAACAAACCCAGGTGTGGTGAGTAGAGCCCTTCTCACTTTTAAGGGAGGCAGCCTGGGGCGGTAAGTGTAACCCTGGCTCAGCGGAAACCGTCCCCCAAGCTTTCCTTCTGTGCTGGTGAGTGCTGGCCTGGGGCCTCCGCTGCTTCCTTTCCTACAATTCTGCTCACTCCGCACTAGGTTGCTCCTTGCCTGGGGCAGGAGAGAGCACTCGGAGAGCTTATCTTGAATATAATTTCTCAGCTCCTTCTGGTTTGAATGGCTTTGGATTCGATTTGAACGGAGTCGGAAGGTTTCTCCACGTAGGCCTGAGAAAACCTAGCAGGGCAGGTATCGGAGTTGTGGGGGAGGGGGGTCGTGCCACACGGGCTTTAGGAGCCTCCAGGCGGGATTGCTCTGCCGGCACCCCAAAATATAGGGCTGGAACCCGCTAATCCTGGGGGCCTCGACGCCTCCGCCCAGACCACCCAGGTCACGGTGGCTGTCCCCGTGCTGGGGCCGAGATAGCAGGGAGGGTGGCCCCAACCTGGAGGGGGGGACTTGTCCCTAAGGGCCTCTACTTTTGTGCCCAAGCGTTTTCTCCTGGTCAGGAGAGACTGGCGGACACGTTAATGAAAAAAAAATATTAAGAGGGAGAGCGCGAGCCCATTAGAACTTGCCAGCCGGCAGGCAGAAGACGGAGGCGTCTGGTTGATCAAGCGGGAAGAGGCTACAATATAGGCAAATATTGAAGCGACTTACGTGAATTGTACCTCGGGTTTGGATTCCTAATTGTTGCCTAAAAACGGCTTTTGAAGAGATTCCTTCTGGCCGCGAGCACAGCGGGTAAGTTTACCATAATAATAGCACCAAGAACACTAGCTAACGTTTATGCGCTTGCTGTAAGCTAGGTGCTGTGCTCAG